AAAATACTGTAGCAGGCAGATCACTCACTGTTCATGATGCACTAACTATTGGAAGAAAATCCTAAATATTGATTTGGGGGTTTATATGAATGTGCTTCTGAGGGGAACTGACTGTCTTCAGAAATGTTTAGATGGTATTTTCTTTTCATCTCGTCTCTGTATAGTTCATATTAAAGCAGTGTTTCAGCGCAGTACTGCTTTGTTTACAGCGGTAACCAAGGAAACACTGTATCAGGTGTTCCAGAAGCACCCCCTGCTGTCAGAAAGTGAATCTGTGTCTCATTCAGAGCTTCTGCTGTTTGCTTCGTTCAGGCATGTAGTATAATTTCACAAAGCTAGTCAGAACAGAACATTCTGTTTTTGCTTTAAATTGGGTTATTATTAAATCAACTTATGCATATGAAATTATATAACTAAATTATATGAAATGATATGTATATGAATTATATAACTAAAATGAAATAACTGTAATTACAGATTTAGGTTAAATAAAGATGTCAGTCTTTATTTTTCTTCTTTTTAGGGCAGCAGTAGCTCTAGCAGCAAATCAACCATCCACATCAAAAGCAGGACAGCCCACAATTCAATATTTCAGAAACAAATCAAAGAAAAAATAAACAAATACTACTGTTCCAAATATTCTGTATGTTGCTCAAAATATATTGCGTTCAGTTTTTTTTTTACCCAGACATTTAAAATGAACACATTTTAGAGCTGTAACAACAATACCGTGATACCGTGAAACCGTGATAGTTTTGCTTAAGGTTATCATATCGTCAAAATCTCATACCGGCACATGCCTAATCTATACCTTGTTCTTTTATTAAACAAACTAAATAGCCTTATGTCATTTATCTTATTTACACAATGGCATGTAATTTCTGTCTCTACGTTACGTGGTCGCGCTCTCTGCATCGTGCACAGCGGAGTTCCACCCCGTTGTGCACACACAAGTGAGCACACTCCCACTAGTATTTGTAAATATTAAGCCGCAAAACGACTATTTAAACATGAATTCTGCATGTCTATTTGTTAATGAATGGCGCAGACACGTGGTTTTGTGTACTACTCGTACTGAAGCGCTTCAATGTTTTAATTGTAATATTAAATCCCCTTTATTTTCCAAAAATAAAATTGGTTTGATTTTCAATAATTAAAAGATAAATTAAATGACTGTTTTATGCCTTAAAAAATGTTAATACACAACACAGAATTTCTGAGGAAAAAAATCATTAGGCTATTGTAAGAATAAATTAAACTTGTTTTTATGCTTTCAAATAATTAGACATGTTAAAACACAGAATTTGGTAACAATAAAACATAAGGTTGGAAAAAATAAAACATTTCTTAGGGCCTTAGACATGTAATTTTTGTTAAACTTTTGATAAAACACCCCCCCCAAAGCCATAAACCTAGGGGAAACACTGAAGTGAGTGAATAAATGGATGACAAAACCCCTTCTAGCCTGTGAATGGAAAGAGAAATCGCATGATTGGGAGAGGAGAGACGGCGGAGACATGCAGTAGGCTGGAAGAGGTGATAACGTGTGAAGAGAGGAAGTGGGTGGAGGTGGAGACGGATGAAGTGTCAAGATGGAGAACTTCCTATAATGATGAAAAACAAGACAATGCGATCATGTTAATGATCAAGGGGGGGCAGACAACTGTAGGACTAGAGTATTTATGGAGTTTTAACAAATAATCATTTGTTTGGGAGGCACTGTCAGAAAAATTGTTTTAGGGAAAGCTTGGTAGCTTTTAGCTTGTCACTGGTGCAAATCATTTGAAGTCACCATGAAATAAAAATTGACAATTCTTTTTTTATTTTTTTATTGCATATTGCAGCGTTCATTTTAAATGATTTATCTGTACACACCATAATTTTAAATTAATGTGCCCTCATAATCTTACATCAAAAACATTAACATTTGTTTCCCTCGCAACGACATGACTTCTCTGATGACGTGTACACTGGCATGAGGACGATCCCTCCAATCCAGCAAGCTGTCACTCTGACGCGAGATCACAGCAGTTAGCGAACAATGATCCAATCAATTCTCACTGGACAAAAATAAGTCCTGCCCTACCTTTTTTTCCTCATTTCGAGGATCTGTTACACTGAGATTTAGGCCTACGTCAGGAGAGGGGAAAAAAGACGACTGCAAATTCTGTTTCATGCCGACTTTAAAGAAACAGTTCAACTGAAAATTAAAATTCTGTAATCATTTACTCACGCTCATGTTGTTCCAAATCTATATGACTTTCTTTATTCCATGAAACTCAAAAGATCTTTTGGGTCCTTCATTTTATGGAAGAAAAAAACACTGAGACAAAATATCTTCTACGTTTGACAGAAGATATAAATGCATGCAGTTTTGGAACAACATGAGCATAAATAAATGACAGAATTTTAATTTTAGGTGAACCATTCCTTTAAGGGTACACTTTTAAGGGTACTGGCCCAGTGACAAGCTGTTATAAATGCACTACTTTTTCAGAAAGTGAAGGGAAAGGTCAGTTTTACAAAACAGCATATCAAGTTCTTGAAGCAACGAGAGCTCCAGAGCGGACAGGCCTCAGCGTACTCCAGGGTACAGAGAGAACGGCACTGCTGCCAAAGGGAAATGGATTTTGAGAGACACTGACGCCAGTGCTTATGTTGTGGAGAGGGAGTGAACGAGTACCTAAACTCAGTTATAACATGGAGCCAAGCAGGCCTGACGACCACACTAGTGAACACGGGGCCCTGCAGTGGGGGGATGGGTACAAAGGACCATATATTGCACGAAGGAGACAGTTCCTAGAATCAGCCGGCACGACTCCCCATAGTTCACAAGCAACATGATTAACCACCAGACAGGGAGTACTCCAGCAGTGCTATTAATAAAAGATAACCTCCTACCCTCCCCAGACCCGCTTCTCAAAGCCACATTTTTGCTAGGCACATACAGAGAACAGCTTTGTTTACTACAACAGAGGGATTACATCCTCAGGGCTGGGGTACGCAGCTCTTCCCTCGGCTCCCAGGGCCGGATGGGTAAATTAGCCACCGATGTGACCCTAAACAATGTCTTCTGGGTTGGGGATCAATTAGACAAGCCTGTGAAATAATGACACCCCTGGGAAGATGTTCCTAGGGAGACCCCCTTTGGGCCCCTGGCTGAGGTCTTCAGGAATTGATCTTTCCGAACACACCACAGGTACACAGCTTCAGCAGTAATTACCACACTGCAGGAGCAGACGATCGCACAAACAAGGCACAGTTGTGGCCGAACCTAACCAGAGACGTGAGTTGCTGTGTAGGACACCAACTGGCGAGGAGAAGATAAGCAGGAGGTAATTATAGTTTGGTTGCTGTTACCGCTAGAACACACCACGCTGAAATGCTATTGTGCAGACTGTCACAATTTTATTGTGAAGCAATAGAACAGGAACAATCACGACTACACAACCCCAATTAAGAGGTTACTGGACAGACCCTTTCAGCACAGATCCTATCCTTGCTCATAATGTACTCTTTCATTGTCTTGACGGCTGCCATTTACCTTTAGTTGCTGCACGATCATTCTTAGACAAAAGGCTCAAGAGTTTTGTGCACACAACACAATCGCTAAAGAAAACTAATTGAGGGAAATGTTTACAGAAGCTAGAGTACACACACATTTGTTTTTCTACCATGGTGGGGACTTTCTATTGGCTTCTATTGTTTTAATACGGAGTTAATAACATTTTCCATCTTCACCAAATATCAGAAAAGCCTGTAGAGCTCAGGCTTTTATATCCTTGAAGATCTAGTCAGCACAATGTAGGCAAAACCTGAACGAGAGAGAGAGGCCACAATGGAAAATTTTTGATGGACTTACCAAGCGAGCTGGACATCAAGACAGCTTCTACAGGGATCTTCACACTACCCTTAACCTTGGGTTAACATCTTTCTCAACACCGTGTAAAGGCCAGTTTTAACCCTGAGTTAAGTACACGTTCTACACTTGCAATTTTGGAAGGGGTGTTAGCATTACTTTTAACCCTGGGTTATATGCTAGCGACAATGCGTTACACTAACATTAAACGTTATGGCGAGTTGTTTAGCAACAGACACCAATCATAACGTGCCTCAGTTCTTCCGTCATTAAAAATTAATGCGCTTCGTACAGTCGCTAAAACTTTCACACGCCTCCACGACTGAGGGGAAACAGTTCAAAATGTCGAACGGTAAAGGCAAACGCGTTAAGTAGAATGATGAATAGACGATATTATTTTGCTCCACATAGCGACTTTTCACACAGATGAACAAGCAGTTATTAAGCGTGTAGTATTTGTCCAACGTTAATATTCAAATAAGAACGTTACAAACGCACAGCGTGGAAATCTCAAAACCTGACTACCTAAAATTAACAACTAAGCAAGGTAGTATGAACAGCGTGAAGCACAATATAAGATACGTCCATTTCAAGTGTGAAAAACTCACCCCCAACCTCAAAATAGGCTCGCGTAAAAACCCCGAAGTACCGTTTGCGATCTAACAAAATTCGCTTCGTGTTGACTACGGAGCAATTCTAAATCAATACTTAACTTTCATAGTAAGTCGATGAATGAACAATTCCCTAACACATTTCATACATGCATAAAAACAGCCAGTACATCCAAGCCTGTCATCCGATTTTATGATGGAAACGGAGGCAAAGCAAATCAAGACATTCTAGTGACAGGAACCGAGTGCGAAACGTACCTTTGTGCATGCCAGTGAAGCGGTCTTTCAGCACGGTGAGCTCGTAGATCTTGCCAAATTCCTCGAAGAGCGGCCGGAGGTCCTTCTCGTCCAGGTTGCGGGGTATCTGTCCGATGAACAGTTTGATTGCATCGTGGTCCTTCATTGGAATGGTGGCGCAGCTCGCGGGACTGTGCGTGTGGCTTATTCCGTTCACGAGCCCGTTCGTACTGGCCGCTCCTCCGTGCACCGCGGCGTCCACCTGTCCGTTCGTTAAAGTTGCCATGTTCACCGCGAGGACTTTCAGCTGCTACGCCTTCAGAAGTGTTTCAAACGACGGGATGAGACGTCCTACTCGGGTTTTCGCCGAAAATGTACAGATGCAAACACGTACCATTGAACACAATCAAATATCAAACGTTTGGTCGTCCAGGCGGAGGCGTGTTTCCTTGTACGTGTCCCTTACAACTCAATTCATTAATGTAATAAAAACGAGAGAGAGAGACCGATCGAGAGCATTCGCTTTACCTCCGTTCCCCTCGCCCCTTCTTCTAACTACCCTTTTATTTTTTGCATTGAGAAGTCGGTATGGGTGTCCTCCCGGTTTAAACCGACAGGGCTGTCTCAAACGCGCTCAGTGCAGTGGGGAGGAAGAGAAGAAAAAGCAGCTCGCTTTATGTCACACGACGCAATCTCTCCCCCTCTCATCGTTATACAGAAACATGGTATGTTCCGCCGAAGGAGAAGGACTATAAATAAAGAAAATATCACATTTACACGGCTCTTTGTACGCCGCTTTGTGAATGACGCACCTTAGACTTGTACATAGTGGCATTCAATGTTTATTAAAAAAAAAAAAAAACGTGTATGCATTGTTGTTGTTTTTTTCAACGCACTCTAATGCATAATGTTCCCCTAAATGCATTTCTCAGGAAAGCATCAAAGGATTCACCAAAATTCGAGGGGAACTAATGGACAGCGCCAGTGCTGAAACGCTCGGAAAGTGCAAGGGCAAAAGCAGCCTTATGCATGTAACCTCGCCGGGATAAATCATTTCAATTTTATCATTATGATTATTTTTTACTTATCATTCAAAGAAATACAAAAATGTGTTTGTATTTAATCGAGGTAATGTCTCTTTTCAAATGTACGAGCTAGAAAGAGGGCTGTGAGCTCCTCCGCGCGGCGTGTACGGGCAGGGAGGTGACACTGTTTGTGTGTGTGTGTTCAGGAATGGGGGTAATAAACATACAAATCCGTATCATATAGTTGGTTCCTAGAGCAACCTTTAACCCGTTCAGTCCTAGTGTTCATTCCAGCGAGCATCGCTTTTATCTGGGTGTTTTGTATGGTTTTGATCATTTGATGCCATTATAATGCATTTTTAGATTGGACGGATATGTCAATCTATGAGTGCTACAAATGTTTTTTTTTTCCTTGCTCAACAACCTTCTTTTGAATTATGGCAGAACAATATGGCACAGGTTGAATGTTTATAACCTTAATATGTCAAAAAAACAACAATAGCTTCTATATTACAGTTTAAATAGACTGTTTTCCATTTCAATATATTTTAGTTTTGTCACTTTTTGACACTAAAAATATTTTTCAAAGAGCTAAATACTTTTAAATAAGATTATTGAAGTCCGTTTTACAAGAAAATGCTATTGCGTTTTTTCTAAATATATTTATATTTTCTAAAATATATTCAAATGGAAAACAGTTATTTTAAATTGTAAAAATATTTAACAATATTACAGTTTTTACTGTATTTTTGATCAAATAAATGCAGCCTTGGTGAACATATGAGACATTTGACCTCATTGTGTATGTGTGTGTAAACGCGCACACACACACACACACACACACACACACACACACACAATCTGGATGTTGCTACAGCTTAGAACCAATGCCCATTGTAATGGACATTACAAACAGCTATTGAAATCTTATCATAAAACATTTTTTGACTGATTATTATTTATGGCTGCATTTAGAGTAGAATTAAAGCATGGCCATATTTTTTTACATCCCTGAAACATAATTCAAGAGCAATGGGTCAATAGCTGACAGTAGAAATTTTAAGTACTCGTTGAAAGATTATTTATAGTCACATCTTTTCACTTAGGAGCTCACTTTGATTGTGTCTGTGGATTTCATCAGACAAAAATGCTGTTGTGAATCACTGTTCACTACAGAGTATTTGCTTCAACGATAAACTCTCTTTCACTGAAGCCAAAAACTAAGTGTCTCTTCAATTTAATATCATAACCCCATCAATGAACCTACAGAGATCTGCTGTTCTTTCTGATCAGGAAAAACAACCCCGATGTAATGAAGACTGACTGAACAGATGTAATGAAGACTGCTTGGAGGTTTGAGTGACGCCTCCAAACATCTAACCTGAGCCCTCAACACCTCTAAAATCCCACTTATCCACGATACGAACCGCTGTTGACAGTCAAAGCGTGTATGCACATGTGCAAATGTTGCATGCAAGCCTCCAATTTCCACACCAGAGCACACAACCACAGCGTTTTTCATGCTGACAATGACACACCACTGTCGAGACCAAAGCACCTGCTCATAATGATGGGAAATTGTAGGCTGCTTCAGAGTTCCTGCTGAGCACGAGGCCCACGGAGAACAACAGGCGTACATGTGTTCGGCACTGGCACAACGGCAGGTAGGAGCACTCAAGCGAACTCAAAATGGAGGAAAACAACAAGCCGCTTTAGAGGAGGCCTTCTGAATACTCTGAAAAACCCATGACATAGCTGTTCAGAACAATGATTCTCAATTAGTTTTGCATCAGAACTCAGATTTGGCACTGGATATCAAGTGGCGACCCAACATGATACCAAATGTAACCTGTTCATGCAAAACCATTTGTTTTCCCAAAGAACCTTTCAGGTTGTTTCTTAAAATAAGCTTTTTTGTTTTTTTTCGTAGTGTAATTTCACTACATAGAATATTTTGTGCAATAAAAAGATTCCACAGATGTTAAAAGTCCTTCATTGAACCATACATACTAACAAAGAACCTTTTGAAAGAATAATAATAGTAATGTATCCTATTATGCACGATTATTGCATTGTTTTTCACTGTGGTCTTTAAACAGACTTGGACATTTAATTTGGGGTCATGACATAATGGTTAAAAAGCACATTTTGTTCTATAAAATAAAGGTTCTTAAAAAAAGAGGAGAAAAAAGAGAAAAAGACCAAGAACCATTTTCACTGTATTTCACTGCATTCTTGCATTGGATATATATGATTATTGGGATAATAAAAAGCATCAGTGCACCTATATTTTCTAAAATAAAATAAAATAAAATAAAATAAAAAGCAACATTAAAAAAAGATAAAAAATAAAAAATAAAGTAGTTTACACGTATGCTTTGCAGAATGTGTAAGGTTTTCTATGACGTCTGATTGCAAATTCCTTTTTGGACCTAAGTGCAGCCTTTATTTTTAAGAGTTCACAATAATACAATAAATGCAATGAATTGCATCATGCTATGTTTCTTAGAAGAGCAACTTCTCTTAATTGCATCTTTCCAAATAAGTAATTTATAGCTCAGCTGCTCTTTTATCTACATTGCATCTCTTATTGTTTCATGTTCTCCGCCCAAAGGTCAACTGGGCAAATATTAAAACACAGTATAATCTTGTATGTGTTTGGCCTTAACGATGCGATTTTAAAGCGTTGGATGCGGTCCAAAGCAGCATTAAAAAGGAAACGAAAAACACTCCATGGCCCTCTCACCTACCGCACTCAGAGGCTGTAATGGCCCGTTAATGTCATTTCGGACTGTCAGTATAACCCAGCCCAGCTGAGTCAGTCCGCTTTCTTTGGCAGGGCACTGTGCTCGGTTCTGCAAGCATACCCTTGGGGCCACGCTGCCCGAGATCACGCCCGACTTGCCTTGAGCCATATTTTTAATACAAGGACGAAATGTGTTAGCACAAATCATTGTAATTATGTTCTCTGCGTAGTATCGCAACGATTACATAAGTTATGTTGCCATTATTGTTCCCTATAGTCTTTCTCTTCGCCCCTCTCTCGTCTCTTTTGCTGTTTTCAAGCCGGCCCAAATGAAAAGCGTCTGATGAGCACGTCTATCATCGTGATAATAATAATCATACACAATTAGCGGGTAATTTACAGACCGATTGGTCTACAGAGGGAGCACCGTAGGTCGCAGGGAGCACGGTTTGATGAACCTGGAGTGGAACTGGAACGCTCCAATCTAAATTTCAGCAGAGGAGTGGTCTCAAGAGGAGAGTCTCGCATTTTCATCCTAAAATTTGATCTCAGCGGTATGTCTATGCGAATGAGCCTTACAATCAAATGACAATCATACTTTTTTTTTTTCTGTCAAGAAATAAATAATAAATCCAAATGTTATTTTCTTCAACAGCAGGCCTGGTGCTAAAAATATGCACTGTCGTTCCATGCTTCTGCATGGCTGCTGGAACAACAGTAAGCTGCTGTCCATGGTTCTGAAATATTCTCACTGAGGCACAACTAGTCAAAACCAGTCAAACGTTTGGAATAATGACAATTTTTTAAATGAAGAAGTGTCTTATGCTCACCAAAGGCTGCATTAATTTGATCAAAAATACAGTAAAAGCTGATTTTTGACATCAAATTTAAAATTGGTTTCTACTTGAATACATTGTAAAATGTAATCTATTTCTGTGATGGCAAAACTGAATTTTCAGTGGCCATTACTCTAGTGTCACATGGTCTTTCAGAAATCATTCTAATATGCTGATTTGATGCTCAAAAAACATTTCTCATTATTATCAATGTTGAAACAGTTGTGCTTCTTCATATTTTGTGCAAACCGTGACACATTACCATTCAAAAGTATGGGGTAAGTTTTTATTTTTTATTTTAAATAAATGCTGTTCTTTTGAACTATTTATTCATCAAAGAATCCTGAAAATGTATGTTAGTTTCCAAAAAAAATATTATGCAACAAAAACGGTTTTCAACATTGATGATAATAAGAACCATTAATTGGGCACCGATAAAAAGTGAGCACTATATCGACATTTCTGAAAGATCGTGTGACATTAAAGACTGAAGTAAAGGCTACTGAAAATTTAGCTTTGCCATCACAGTAATAAATTATATTAAAACAAAATATTTAAATAGAAAATAATTTTAAAGTGCAATAATATTTACTGTTTTTTGATCTAATAAATGTAGCCTTGGTAAGCATTGTGACTTATTTCAAAAACATAAAAAAAAGTAATTATTTCAAATTTTTGGCCGATAGTGTATATCAACTGACCCCTTCTAAAATGGGTTTACTTGAAAGAGATTGCTATAATATTATACTGAAAGTAACAAAAGCCTTTTTTGACACCCCTCACTCTTTGACAATAGAGTGCACTGAAATAACTTGTGCCCTTGGAACATTATTTTGAATTAAATCCTGTTCCGGCGGTGTAATTGTTGAGGAAGGCAAATAAACGAGTGGCAAATGAAATTCTTGCAGGGCAGCTTGCACAAATAGATTGATAATGTGCGCCAGCCGCCGTAAA